GATGTATGCATTGATGACCGAAACGTCAAAACAAAACCACAGGATGTATTTCCATCACTTTTTTGCCTTGTTGGAAATTCCATAGTATGATCTGAGTTGATCATTTTTGTCAACACAACTGTAGTAACTGCTATATATTCTCCAATTGCTTCTGGCCGTGGTACAGGGTTTTGAGGAGTGGCACCTCTTCTACGAGTGACATCTTGGTCAGCTGACGTGTGGGCAGTCGACACAACCGTCACTTTGCGTCTGTCAAACCAGGCGATGGCTTGCACTCCGTCTTTCTCCAACCTAACTTTGTCACCAGGTTTTTTGACACATTTAGGGTCTTTAACATGGTTTGGTAGCCCACTACGGTTTGGGCGGATGGTTACGCAGCTGTAGGTATCTTTCTCTAACAAATATTGGAGAAGGGGAGATGCTTGTGAAAACGTTCTGTGTAGACAACGTGAAACTTGCCAAAGTAAGGTTCTGTTAGTGTCTTTACTACTCTCTGGCCTAGAGCCTCCCCATCATGTCCTAGGTCAGTTTTTTCCCAGTATATACTGACAAGTTCAACATAAAATATAATAATCATGCGAGTCACAAACAGCCCACACTTTCAGACCCCATTTTACAGGCTTTGCGGGAAGGTATTGGCGATATGCTCAGCGTCCCTTAAATTTGATCATTGCTTCATCAACGCAAATTTCTCGATGAGGGTTGTGATTTTCTGGCCACGTATGTTGGATGAGGTCTAGAAGGGGCCTTACTTTATGCAGAGGATCATGCTGCTCTTTACCGTAGGGTGGATTGAGTGTGCTGTCGTTGAAGTGGAAGTTTGATACGAGTTCCTCGTATCTATTGCGTGTCTTCAAGTTGGACACAAATTGCTGATTGAAAGTCTTGTCTGAACTCCAGTAGAGCCTGTAAGAAGGCAGTCTGGCAATGGCCATATAAAGAAATGGATTGCCATAAAGCCTTGATTTCAACAACAGTGGTGTTAGTCCATGGTGGAGGTGGGTTGTTTGGCTGAGCTCTTGCTCTATCCGCATTTCTCTGTGTTGCATAGAGGTTAGTTTCATCTGCCAGTCTTTCGAAAAAAAACCTCTGGAACTAACTGAAAGAAATAATCTATTGGCAAAGCATCAAGGTGAAGAGGGTTTATAGGGCCAGTGTGACTTGTAAAGTCGCTGATGTCAGTCCCTACCTGACTGCAGTCTAGGCTCCAACCATCAGTGGGAGTGGCAGCATGATTCACCCGCATCAGCTGGTAGATCTAGTGGTTGATCGGAATCCGGAGTTCTGGATTTAGATAATCTAGAGTCTAGATGATGTAGAGTCTAGATCTAGGTCTAGGTCCAATCCCACCTTCACCACCACTACTATCTTCTTCATCATTAGATTGCTCTTCTAGATCTACTTCTATGTCTGACTGGTCGTCAGAAGCATCACTATACCCATCACCCTCGAAAAAGTCGAACAGATTTCTACCTGAAGGACCAGGCTGGTTCATGTTTGCAATTTTCACACATGGAACTGAGCTTGACTAGGGCCTAACTATGAATTTCTTGCTTATGTTTACTTTCTTATCTACTGCTTTCACTGCAGGGTTGCCTGATTATTTTCAGGCATTCTGCCAACTGGATTAAAAAAAGGGAGTGCTTATTTAGGCCACATATGGCCTTAATAAGGTAAGGGAGGGGGGTTTAGCTTATTTAGGCCACACATGCTCAAACTACCCTTTTCAGGC